TTCATCACTCAGGATTTAGCACGAAATATCTCGCAAGTTATATGTACAAAGTTAAATAAAACATTATGTTAAATAAAACATTATAGTTAACTAATAGTTATCGGACTTTGGTATGTTAGTTATGCCAGATCAATATCGGAATATTTTTATACACGGCTAACTGTTGAGATGAGAAATGAGAAGAATGCAAAAATGCAGATTTATTTTTCAGACGCGCACAACGTAGTGTGAGAGACTTCAACGCCTGACATATAAGCGACGTCTTCAGTTGCATACTCATTTCTCTATTTAGGATCGTATGTTCACTTTGCCATCTCGCCCAACCCTCTTATAGACTATATTGTCGCTTCTTTGGATACTGATAAGTGAGCGATTTCAAAGCGGGTTAGACCGATGTTCCGCGATGCAACTGACGAAACAATACAGTGAAGCTTGAGCAGAAATAGCGAAACAATGGAGCTTGCGGCTCTTGACACTATCGAGTTTGCTGTAACTAACAAGGGTACAATCTCACGCCTGTCTAATGCTCGTTACGAGTAATATCATTAGGTCTGCTTGGAATAACCGCAGAATTACTATCATATAATATCGTAAAAGAGATTATTTGCGTTCTTTTCAAGAAATAATAAATAATGCCTAAAATAATGTCTGATATATATATATATATATATATATATATATATATGTATATATATATATATATATATATATCTACTATATATTTTAAAAAGCATAAAAATAAAAAGTATATATTATTAGAGTGATCCTAAAAGAAGGGAAAATTGTCCATATGATAAATTTTCATATAACTGTGCAAAAATATTTCGTATATTTTTGCACAAACTCGCGATATTTTCACGCGCATTTCCGATAATGTAAATGTCATATATCTGTATTATAATAATTAAAAGAGAAATAAATCTCCGTTGCAAAAATATGTCATTTAGTCATTTTTGAATTTTCACATATTTTCATGTATTTCCGACACGACAATAACTTTAACGGAATATGCTTCAATAAGTCATGCGCCATTTAATTAACTCGTCATGCAAGTAAAATAAATTACTTGTTGCTGAATCCAGTACTTATCAACGCTCTCGGAAATATAATTTATATTAATTAAATTTATTTAGATTGTTTGGGGATGCGCATGTTAGGATTTTAATAATAATGTTGATAAAAAGAGGGATATAGCGAAATTAAATTATTCATATCAATTAAAAATATTCATATCAATTTTTTGATAGATTTACATAAAATGCATCATTTGTACCAAAATTCATCAATGCATAATTAATTCCAACATTAATTCCAACTTTGTCTCCATATGTATATCAAAATATTTTTTATTCCTTCAGTTTTATTTCCGACAATAAAAAAAATTGTGCAATATTATAGCATGAAAATATGACGACAGCAAAAATTATTTGTGGGAATTATTATACAAATTAATATCTATTACACTTTACTTAAGAGTTATGTTTTTGTAATCTTGGATTATAATTTTTTTAATAACATGTACATACATATATGTGGAATCTCAAAAAAGAAAGAAAAAATAAAAAAAAATATAATAAGACATTACTGCATATTAGATTAAAATAGCTTTGAATAAATATTGTTTCCTGTATTAAATAGTTATGTAATTTTTATCTATATATATAGACATAAAAATTAATACAAATAAAATAACTTTTATTATATTCATTAAACAATTATTTTGCATATAATATGTTGTTATTTATTTCTAAGCAATATTAAAAATTTTTAAGAAAATTTAAAAAAAAGATCGATTAATTAAAAATATAAATTACATCAGTCTTTACATATATTAAATTCAATGTAAATTTTAAAAATCGATTAAAAAAAATGATTTTGAAAATATCTTAAGATCGATATACAATTTTTATATCGCAAAAACAAATTAAATGAATTAAATGGAATTAACAGGAATGGAATTAATTATATGAAGCTGAATTCTCATTCTTTGAAATAAAAATTTAATTGAAATAGAATTCTTTAATTTCTTTCTTCTTTCATTTATTATCAAAATAATATCAAAATATTTCCCTTTTGAGAATTTAAAATTTAAATTTTAGATAGATGATTTTTTTTCAAATATGCATGTATTGTCTTATTTTCACTGACAAATTTTTCAATATCGTCGTTATAATAAATTGCAACAAGAACAACAAATATTTTATTTAATGTTTCGATTTGTAATAACAATATTATTTATTACGGCTCGATAAACGAATGCATATCTCTGGAGAATTCGTTGATCAATCGAAACGAGAGTTAATCGAGAAGGCGATTACGGAAATGAACCGTCGACAAAACTACGCGACAACGTGTCTCCGTCTAAACGCAAGATCATAAGTCGTAGCTGATTGAATTAACGAAGCGCGATTATTAGCAAGTAATGGAAACGTCGTCTGCGAAGTTAATAATTCTAGAGTAAGTGGGACGAAGCATTCGTCGTTGAAACGATACAGTGTCACAGTCATCTCCGTTCGACTTTCTTCGATCGCTTCGCAAACAGTTTTCGCAATATAAGCATAACTTCGAAATGTATAATATTCGCGAAGACGAACTACGATTAGATATTTTATTATTTTAATCAATCGTGCATGAAAGATCTGCGATTAATTAACCTGACATTTAATTTAATTAACGAGATGAGTGCGCAAGATAGTTAAGAAGATATTATTCAGTTTGCTCCAAATTAAACGTATTACTGTTTCTCTAATTGCGAGCTAGCAAGCGATGTTTGTCGAGTATTTGTTACGACTTGACAGAGATCTTGATATTAAAATAAGAATAAAAACAAGATATTTCTGAATATTAAAATAAAAAGGAATAAAAATGTAGTAATTAAGTATAATAATTTAAAAAAATAATAATCTTTAAAGATATTCAATAAATATTTAAAGAATATGACAAATTATATTACTTAAAAAATAAATTGATGTACATTTACTGATAAAAAAAACATTAATGTTAAATTTAATATCATTTTTGCTGTACCTTTATTTTTAAATAAACCTATTATTGCTTTGCTGAATGTTCGCACATTATATGTTGAAGTAAACTCGTGAAAGAAAGAAGAAAAGAAACTTTTAATAACAATATTAACGAAACAAGGAATCAATGAATCGAATCATGATAAAATTATACAGTTAGACTTGTTGGGAATTTTTTTAACTTTTTTTAAATTTCTTTTCTTTTCGCACAATATTTTCTCATCATCTGATAATATTTTTCCTTTTTTGTAACAATCACAGAAATTTTTGATAACATAAAAAATAAACCAAATATATCGAACATGTGTATAAAAAAATAAACTGCATAACAAATAATGGCTTGTGTATTTCATTTGCGATATCGTATCGAGTTTTAATCGGTATATAATTTGTTAAATATTTTAAATAAAAGATAGATTTTGTATATGTAAATATCAAATTAAGTGCGATATAATTCATACTTATCAATTAAATATAATAGCGTATAAATTTTAATATCGGAATATATTAATAATAATATACAAAATATATATATATATTCTACTGTGTCACACGATAAACTTCTTATAATCTCTGATTTAACAACATTATCTCGGTAGCGCTGAACTGGGTTTGCCGAAACAACTTACAATATGGTTTATATTGCGTAGGGTAATTTTATAAATTGCCAATTCTATGTGTAAAAAGTACTGGTATAATCCTTTAAATGGCGATTGCATGAACTGTCGCAAGTAACTGCGAACGATAGTTAAAGAAGAACGTGTGTAAGGCATATTTGCGAGAAAAGATTTAGAAGAGATTTTTTCGATTTGCTTCCGAAACAAAAATGTAATAAAAAAATATCGTAATACGAAAATTCGAAAAATGTCAACTAAGAGAAAAAAAATAAAGATCGAATAGTGGCAAGATAGATGCGATACTATAAACGAGCAACCGCCTTCATCGTCTCTTTTTAGATTCAAATCTGTGCCATAATTATCAAAGGAGAAACAACAGTTTTCAGAATGCCGGCGAACAAAGAAAAGAAAAACTCATCAACGGACAATTACATTTGACGGATTTCTTACACAATTGCCGTTATATTTTCGCTTTTTTGAGAGAGACTCCAAGAAACAGTTTTGTATTACAATGTTAAATAATCACTTTTTCCACAATCGTGCCGTGTATTCGGGATTCTCTTTCACGTCTACTTATAGTAAAAGATCGATGTTGATCTCATTAGAAAGCTTCTACTGAATTCTATTTATATTATCTATTCATTGACTATTCAATTCAGCAATATCTAATAAAATATCTAATAAAATATCTAATATATAATAGAGAAATCAACAAGTGACATAAAAAAAAAATAAAATAATAAGAGAATTTTTTTAGAAAAGATAAGATATTATAAAAAGAGTAGTTGAAGATAACAATCAAAAATTAAATTAAAAATACAAAGGCAATAACCACTGCGCCAAGTTGAACGTAGCAAAAATTTATTAAATTGACTTATCAGCGTGAAGTCATAATGAATCGAATAATTGCATGGATGTAGATCGTAAATGTAAAAAAGCTAAAAATTATAATCAAATTAAAAGAATATTATTATTGCAAAAATTAGCAGACTGAAAGTCGTCATCAAAAGTTACATCGAAGATTCGCATAAGTAAGAAACGCTGACAGTAATAGACAAACGCACGTTTCAAACCTTTACCGGTTCATTCTCAATGTCGAATTATAAATAATTATAGAAAAATCATAATACAAAATCAAGCAATAATGTCGCAGATAAACAAATAAATTCAAATGTAATCGACTCAACGTATCTCTCAACAAAACCAATTTTTTTAGACTTATATTTATTACTTTATATTGCGTTTTTCACATGTATATATGTGTACAGAAATTGGTACGATCGTTTTAACCGAATAGAAGAAAAATTTGTACAAAACGTAATTGAACTCGCACAGTTAATAATGATGCTTATTGACTTACCGGATAATCGTCGTATTTGGCTGATTGTGAGTAATCGGAATAATCGACATTAGCAATATCGGAGCTCCTCTTCCCGACGACACGTTGTGCAAAATTACCGGTGATGATCGGTACCATAGCTACCACGATCAACGGAATAAAACTGATGCCCATATTAATCGCGCGTGATCCTGAATCCTGTCGCCGGACGTACGTTCTTATCGCGCCGATAAATCCTCGATTTACGACATGCGAAAGATGGTTCCGGAAAAAAAATCGCTCGGATATCCGGTCTCCGCCAGTTCCTTGACGAAGATACCGCTTCCGAAAGTGCTCGATCTGAATCGATCCTCGGTATCAAACACGATGCTCGGTGTCTTCGAGAAGGCGCCGATGTTTTGGCCCGAAGCTGGGGGTGCACCGACCGCCACTCAAGTATTCCAAACTTCGGCAAAGCTTGATGGACGTACGTCGGGAATGCAATGTGACGCTCGCGGTGGGCAGCCACGCTCCTATATACTTCGGTCTGCATGCATGGTTGACATTACGCAGGCGCCAGGACTTTCCGCCGCGCGAGAGACGGAAGAAGCAGCGCGGTTGACCGCGTGTCTACCACAAGACGTCGTATTCACACTAAATTAATAAACAAAATAGTTAAGCGAGTACAATATTTGCTTAATTCTTTTCAACTAAATATAATTATGGATTTCTCATTTCTTAATAAATTAAATGGTATTGCGTATGAGAGCAAAAGTATGAAAAAAAAAACAAGTTAAATAAGTTAAATAAGTTAGTCGTTTATCCTTATTAACAGAAAATAATTGGAACTTTTCTTCTCCCAGATACACATCTTTGAAAATGATTAAAAATTTACGATGTAAAATTATTATCATCAAATGATAATAGGAAGACAGTAAGTCGAATAATTAGCCGTTTATCTTTCTTAAATCTTTTCAATATTTACAATGTGTTTCTTTCTGAAACTTCAACAAAGTATTGATTAATCTGAAGTATTGATGCATCTAAATGCATGTTCTCCCTTTCTGACGTTATTTTTGTCCAACTAATAAATAAGTAAAGTTAATAATAAAATAAATAATAATTAAATACATTAATCTGAAGTGCTGTTTGTTTTAAAGATAGTTCAAGGTTGAATTCGTAATTGAAACTAATCGCAAAAAAGTCAAATTGTTAGTTATTTGATTATCTTTTCTAAAAGAGACATAAAATAAACTTTTTCTAAAGAACAATCTTTGTATTTTCGAGAGAATAAAAACTTCGCCGTAAAAATCTTTCGTAATAAAATCTTTTACTTTTGTATTAAAACTTCGGTAATATTTCATAATAAAGCATAACTTTGTTTCGTTCATCTGTTTAGAATTATATTATTAATAGTTATATTAATAATAGTTCAAATTATCACATGAGTGTCGTTCAATTACAAGATGATTATCGCTTTCGTTTTTCATTATTGCATTTGGATACTTTGCGACATTTCTTGTAATTTAGTTCATATTTCAGCAGATATGTACAAATTCCTGACGGTTTAACGTAACTGGGAATAGAGGCGTGATAAAGTCGATGATTGAGTGAGAGAAATAATTCTAAAATAAGAGAGAGAAATTTATTTCTATCTTTTTACAACATTATAATTTTTAATTTTTTATAGTCTAATCATTGTTTGTGACTAAAAAATTGTAACGCATTATATCGGCTGACAAATTACAAAAAATTAAAGAACGCTCAAATAAAAAAAAAAACAATTTCATTAGCTTTAAATTTAATTTAAAAAATTGTTTGGCATACTAATAAAATGTATAATTAGTTTGACTTAAATAATTACTTAATAAATACTTAAATAATTTTCTCTTAAAAATAAAAAGTTGTTAGTCTCAATTTAGATAGTTTTCAATCAGTTATAAGAAATAAAAATTAGTTTTCTTTTTAAATTTAAATGTAAAATTTAAACTAGCACTTTTCTCTCTCTCTCTCTCTCTCTCCCCCCCTTTCTCACTCCTCAAATGCTACATCTATCTTGAGAATATCTATATATCTTGAGAAATCAGAGAATCTAATTCTCTAGGGTTACGAAAAACCTCTAATGTCGCGCGCGTAACAAGCTTCTTGGTGTGTATCAGTCTCTCATTAACGAGAGGGATGTAACGATGCAACGTGTCGCTCACAATTATCTGCAAAATGGCCGAGTTTTATCGACTGTCGTTCGTCTTTCAAGGGAGTTATAACTGTGAGTGGGAGTTATTGCTTGTAGACGTGAGTAAGAATTCGAAAGAGCGTAAGAACAAAAATGAGCCTCATTTAAAGGAGTTAAGGGATAATCATTTTTCAAAATGTCAATGCGCGCACCGATATTTCTCTTTTGCCGTTTTCATCAACATTATACGAATCGGTAATTTTTCCTCGGAAATTCCTATTTTATTCCTAGATGCGCTCTTACAGATGCACTCATCCCTCTAACAAATACGATAAGTCAGGCCGTTTTATCTTTATATTACATAATAACTATGTTGCAAAAAAGTTTTCAAAAAATCTTTTTTGCAGAAAAGGAAAAAATAAAGATTATTAAAATATCTATTTGTTTTTTTATTTTCGGTTATTATTAAATTATTATTAAATTTAAATAATATATCTGTTACGTTTCATTTTTCGTTAACTATCTTTATAATAAAAAATAAAAAAATTGCCACGTTAGTTATAAAATTACAAAGGTATCATTAAAACTGAATATTTGCGCATTCTTCCCGATTGTTTTGCATATTTGTACGTGTGTGTATATGTGTACGCACACAAATGCTGGATAGTGTTTTCAAAGCTCACACAATGTACGAGTGTCCTGGTAATGGCGTTCCCTTCCGAAAGTCATCACCGTTGAAAAATCGCGGATGCGACAGGTGTTTCGCGACGAACAAAAAAATCGATTTAATTAAAACTGCCAGTCACGTACGGCCGGTAATTAACGACTAATAACTTTCGTTTCACTGTCTTCCACATGATAAACGATTATTTGCGTTTTGAGCATTCTTAGAAATGTTATAAGTTAAAATAAAACATTGTCTTTCTCTAGAAAAATTATATTTAGAATTATGTTTTCTTTCTCACATTATCGAGTCTCACGAAATAACATCTTTATTGAAATCATATCACATTTTATGTATTTTAATAATGTATAGCTACTATCTAGTTATAAATATTAAATGGAGCATTACCTAATTAGTGGCTGCACAATTAATTAGCTAATTATGGGATCAAATCTGTTTAACTCACTCCCGTGTGTAGGCGATATGATTTTGACTTTCAGATCATTGCTCATTGCGTAAGCAATGAATTATTGTGACGAAATAAAAGCAGCAAATTGGCTATCTCGTAATTCATAACTTTAAATAATTTTATCTTTATGACATGTTAAAGTGTAATTTGCAGTGTAATCTCGTTCTGGCAGCCACAATATTGTATCATTCTGATTATTCATTACGTCTTAATATATTTAACAGAAAAACAAAATGCGCAAGATTAAAATCTAACTTTAAAAAGAGAATTTAAAATAAAGGTAATATATGTATATAAATTAAAATAAAATATTAACTTAATAAATTAGGCAGATAATTTTATGCAGAGAAAAAATGATTATATTTTTTTAAGAAAAAAGAAATCTCTCTGTTCTTCTCTCTTTCAAAGTTTTTTTCTGTAATTCTAGGTTGTTATACATAACTTTAGGACATTCTTTAATAGTCTTCCATGAAAATTATAAATCTTTTAGTTTAACTTTTATTACTTTATATCTCAAAGTGCATGATACAAATACATCATTCATTCATCACCATTTTCTTAAACCAAGATTTACACATCTTCATTTATAATAAAAAAATTCTTTTTATAATCTCATAAATATATTATGTTTTTATTTATTAATTCGATATATTTCATGAAAAATAAATTATATATCTATACAGGTTACTTATTAACTGCGTAGGTGTTGCTTTGTTCTATTTTATGCTACAGTGTATTTCACTGCGAAAAATAATAAATAAAATATTAAAAGAATTGTGTCATCGTAGATATACACCTAAATCAGTATAATCTCACAATATAGTCTCCATTCTCAATTTTCCCTTTCGCAATTTTTATACATAGTAGTATTAATACATACGTAATTTTCTTTCCCTCTCTCTCTCTCTCTCTCTCTCTCTCTCTCTCTCCCTTTCTCTCCCTCTTTTTTCCCCTTTCTTCCTTCCTCCTTCTCTGCCTTCCTCTCTCCCTCCCTTTCCCTTCCTCCCTCTCTTTCTCTATTGTCATAACAATATAAAGATTTAGGACATAAAGATAAAACAAAGATTTAGAGACAATGGAATCTCTTTAATCTATTCATTGTAAATGCGCACATAATATATGGATTAAAATATATGAAAAGAGAATATATATTCTTCCATTAAATTAAATTTAATAATAAAACATGTATTATTAAATTAATCTTTGAAATTATATCAATTTATTCATCCTAATTTATTTAATGTATTTTTTATTTTGTTAATTCGTTTTTAAATAAATTTCTTTTTTATACGATTAATCAAAATCTATTTAAACTTTAAAAAATTTGTATGATGTGAGCAAAAAGAATATCTCTTTGTCTGAGATATTCGATTATATTTTGATATCTTTAAAAATATATTTTAACAATATCACATTTATATAATTCGCACATATACGCACATATTAAATTGGATACTAAAAATATATCTACGAAATATATTAAATATATCAAATATTAAATATAATTTCTCTCTATATATTTAAGGATAAAGGAAATCATTTATCCGGCTCGCTCATAATTTGCGATAGTATTAGAATGGAATTGTTCCTGTTAATTATATATTTTCACATCTATACATCGAAAAGGTTAAAGCCAGAGGTCATTATTCTCCATAGTGAATATTTAGCATGGTGAGCGCGTTATTCATGCGACATATAAAACATGATATCGGACGATCGTCGCATTTAGCGCTAGATATGTGACGAGAATATCGAGGCTGAATTTTGCCGAGACGCAGTTTCAGATCCACGCGCGGATATATCCATTTTTTTTCATTGTTGTATTTTATTCGATTTTACGAGATATTAAGATACTTTTATAATCATAATTTCGCGTATTAAAGTACGCGATTGTATTTCGCCAGTCGCGAAAATATCCCCGTTGACGTCGTCATCGCGGAAGTCGATGGGTGTTCGGGCCGGACTTAATGGCGGGACCTGGAAACGACCGGAGAGCACGAAGCGAGCGAAGCGTTAAACTGTCCTAAAGGTTTCCCTGGTAGCACTTAACCACCCGCTGATCCGCATTTCTTTCTGCCGTAGAGCGACCAAGTAAACAACGACGTTGCGTTTACTCGATAGCGTGGGCGACGCTAAACATTCTCGGCGATTTTTCGACGAGACGCGAGAATGAAATTTCCAATATTTCCGCGAATCGAGCTTTGATAATTAACGATTGAGTGGAAATATTAAATTAACATTATATGTAATAGGAATAACGTCAAAATTCTAAGAGTAAATTGTTGAATTCTTCGGTTGTCAATATATGAAAATAAAAAGGAAAATAATTTGTTTAAAAATTAAGAATAGAGATTATGTTTTTTGTATATGACGAATGTACCTAAGAATGAAGTAACGCAAAGTGCCAAAAATCTATATGCGTCACTGAACATCGTATCTTTTTTTATCGTTTTAATCGCACCGTCGTCGCGATCTGATATAGGATAGTTCAACGCCCACGAATTCATCGTCCGATTGACGTCCCTTCTGCATTTTGTCGATACCTTTTATCGGAGAAGAGGAAAAAAAAGGGAGATCGGCTTATACGAAATAGTATTAGCGACCAATCGCTTTTCACTATGCTCACTGAGTTCGTAAGTAATCGCTTTTATAATTGCATTAATATGAATAAAAAATGCTAATAATATCACGCATATCATGTAGATGGAATAATGCAACAACATATAATTACCTTTCGAAATTATTAATTTTTAATCGACGCAAAGTCGTAAAAAATACATTCGAGTTACTAACCTCGTTGAGAAAATTAAGATGACAGAAAATATATGCATCGAAGCTTCTATCATGCAGAAAGATGAGAGTAATGATTCGACGTGTTGCACAAGAGAAGCGCGAAGCGCTTATCTCATCATAAATGATTTTGAAATCAAAGAGGATGACTGTAATCGCCCTCTATATTATTTGGTCGATAAAATAGATGTCTCGTCGATACATTTATTTTGCTTGACATACCGACAAGAAATTATTAAAGATCGATGATGCCGACAAGTGCCGGATGCCCAGGATTAGCGACCTTCAATAGTATCTCATCGTTGGTTCTTGATATCAGCTGAAGAAAGGGATCTTTTCGAGAATATCGACGATGAAGTAAAATATTAGTGACGCAAGTAGAGGTAATTTTATGTCTACTTCTCATCTGTCACTTTTAATTGATTAATGAAGACGTTCGAAAAATGTGATTCAACGCATGTTCTTTATTTCGAAGAGCTATCATTTCTGAGATATCATGGACGTCTCCACAATTCCCGGTGCACTTTGAGCGCGTTCAGTCTGAAATTATTTAGAATCATCATTTTTAATGTTTCGCACATCGATTGTATAATTATTTACATTATTAGGCTGCATGTAATATTACCTTTGCGTTTCTAAAATAATCGACAGGTTGAGATAATTTAGAGAACAAAGTGATTTTTCCCGTTTTGTCGATTAAAGTTGACCTAGAAATATAAGAAAGTACGTTAGTAAAAAAAAACATAAATATCAATATAAATATATAAACATATTTTGTACACATCAATATAGACTAAATTATTAAATTTAAAATGTGATTTAACATTGAATATATATGTCATAATACACTTGTATGATGGATTTATAATAAAGCATCCTTTTGGATGTGGTTTCTGTACATGCTCCTCTTATAACATACCTTGTATCGCTTTGTGTTGACAATTTCTCAATAATTTTAGCATCTATATTAATCTTTTTTGGTTTTTGCATCTGATTTTTTAACTTCTCTATGTTCTGTGTAAGTTGATGAATCTGTACTTTTAATGTTGCATTTTCATACATCAATCTATTATTTTTTTGTACAACCTAATATAATTCATATGTAATATATAAGTAATCTCCTTCAAAAGTTATTAGATTGGATGCAATACGTATATATATATATATATATATATATATATATATATATATATATGTTTACTTGTAAAAATTTAGCTTTATTAAGGGGTAATGGTTCCTGAAATTTTTCTGATACAATTAAATTAAGTTCCTTTCTCGCCTCATCTAACTTTTCCATCATTTCTGCCATTACTAACAGATGTTCGTGTAACAGCTGATCCAATTTGTATCTTAATGTATCTTTGGCATGTTTCATACGAAGAAATTTTATACATGTATTGTATATAACTTCATTTTTATTTGTTAATTCGTCCTTGAGTTGCTTATTTTCCATTTCTAAAATATCTTGTGTCTGCTCCAATTCCTTATGTCGTTGTTGCTGAAACTTTGACATGTTACCAGTACATTTAATCCTGTATCGCTGTATTTCTTCAATGAAGTGATCTTTCTCTCTTTGATAAAAAAATCTCTCATCATCTAACTGTTCTACAATAAAAATAATCAATACTGCTACAATTATTGCTTTAAAACATTTTATATATTGAACACCAATTCCTAAAATTATTCCTGATAAATATTCAAGTAGTGTATAAATAATTTGAATGAAAATATGCAAAAATTTCATTTGTTTTATTATGTTATATATTATTGTTTCTATTGTCATGGAAAACTTAATCAAAAATGATGCTATCATTGCCTTGAATTAATATTAATATGCATTTGTAGGTTTTGTAAAATATTTATGACCAAATCTTACGTTTAAGATGTCTGTTGCATCTTTGTTGCTTCTTTAGCTCTGCCAATAATCTTCCTTTTTCTCGACAAGTGTTTTCTAATTGCATATCTTTTATTTGTATAGCATCTTCTAAATTTACAATAGCTTTATTTAATTCTGATATCTTGATAAAAATAAAATTAAGAAAATTATATTATTTGCAATCTTGTAAATGATTTGAAAAATTATATAGACCATTATAGTTATATTTAAAATATATAAATTTGCAACATTTTCTTATTAAATTATATAAATGCTTTATCTATGAATAAATATTGAAACTCGATATATGAATCATTAATTACTTATAGCCACGTAAAATACTAACATACTTGTAAAGTTGCTACTTCAGCATCAATTCTGTCACATTCTGCAATGTTCTGGGGGACATTATTTTCTATGATATTAATAGAATGTTTATTTAAATCAATATTTTGCATATTGCAATATATAATTCCAAAGGCCAATCTGTAACATGTCTATTTGATAATCTTTATTTTATTTTATTGATTGTATCACATCACACTTTAATTATATATCCAAAAGTTATAATTTTTTTAGATTGCTTTTGTATATAAATCTATTTGAAGATGTATATTAAAAGAATGTTCCTCTTTCACATGTAAAACTATAAGTAAAAGAACTTAACATGTTGCATTGATTATCTAGAAATAGTGTTAATGCAAAAGTTACTTGTCAGATATATGGTTAATGGAAAAAACATTAGACACTAGATAAAATTAAAGACAAGTAAAAAACGTTCAAGATGTCACAGCAAATCTTAAATGTGATCTTGAATATCGCTTGAATTTTATACTTATGAATTTGAAATAAATTTCCGAAACAATTTTTTTTATGTGTAACACTTTACATCTCAAAATTTCTTTACAGCTCTAAATTCTTTTCTTTAATAATCACACTATATGTAATGTAAAAAAGTTTACATTAAAAATAATTGTTTTTTACAGGTTATGCTCAAATGAATATTTCTACCCAAGTAATACGGATTTTAAAAGTTGTGAAATTTTTTATTGTATCGTATATGTACAAAATAGGTGTACACACACACATACTACTTGTCAATCGCGCACATACGTGTATTAGACACGCATCGCATATGCTTAGTTGCATATGACATTGATGTAAGAGCATTTCTTTTTACCTAGTACACCTATAACCCCCATTTCTATTATCTTTTATCAAATGGAATGAATGTTGAGATGACATATGTATATGTTTCCCTTTTTTCTCATACTGATATCTGTAGAGACACAAGACAAGTAAAATTGTCAAATTGTGACTGACTAATAATCCTTTTCCCATCTTGCATACAAAATAATAAATTATATTGAAATCTTAATTTTTCCAAAGTTTTTTTACATGAGACTATTGACAAAAATTATGTTTAAATGAATATGTTAGAATATATTTTTTATATCTCTGGAAGTGTAACGATATGAACATGGTCTTAAAGAAAACAGAAAATATAAAATACTTCGCTGTAAATTCACTTGTGCTTCCCATAAATTTTACAATAACAACAACTGGGCCAAAGATTATTTAAACATTGCTTTACATATTAGAAAGTTATATGTGATTGATTGATTTAAATAAAATTAATCTGTCTAACAATAATCTAGAAAAAAATCTTTGTCTTTAGAAGATTTCTCTATACTATCATTGTATAAAATTTTACAAAAAAAAAAATCAATAAACAATTTTAAATGCAATTCTAATTAGAAGGTACTTTTGAAGATATAAATCCTTATAAAACTTTTCCTTATTATAAACATTTTTCTTTTTTTTAAAAATATTAATTTCTAAATATATATTATTCTGGAAAATCCCATATCTTTATAAGTATTTTATAACACACAACTAAAGTTAAATCATAATAAGTTTTGCTTTGCTTTATAAAAGTATAAAAAGACAAAAATTACAAAAATATTTTGAGCCAACTCTTCTTTTTATATATAGATGTAAGCATTTTTTGAAATAATTCTAGTATTTTATAAATTAGAAAATTATGACTCAATCATTTTTAAATTATATGTAGCTATTTTGTTGGTCCAGTTGTGTTTTAGGAAAATGGAAAGTAACGCTTGTTATGTAATAATCTGATGAAATGATACTAGATTCGCACAAACGCGGATGATATTAATGATGGACTTATGTTTAATATCCTAACTTAAGAGTTTTATTTCCATAACGTTAAGGCTCATACTTATTTTTTCTTATTTTTGTTAGCCTGATTTTTATATTTGGCCGCAGTTGTTAATTTGGCATTCTTCTTCTTAGGTTCATCATCTTCATCATCTTCATCTTCAGGATCCTACAAGAAATATAAAATGCAATCATGCAATGAATTGTTATACGCAAATAAAATATATTTTGATAAACTTTTATATTTAATAACAGAAAGATAGAGAGAAAAAAAGAGATTAAAAAATTTGATATTACATAATATTTACTAAAATTTTGAAGTAAATTTGGTGAGGCCTTATATATGTTCATGCATTTATTTAACAAAAGTTTCGCGAAAATTTATGCTAAATTTCATCACATTTTATAATCAAAGTTCCAACTCCATTTATAGTAACAATTTTTAATTATAGTGAATTTTCCAATATTTTGCTTTTATTACTTAATCAATGTATATGTTAATATGTACTACATAATTCTTGATTTTTAGATAAAAATTATAATTCAAATGTAACATTTTGCAAAAGTGGAAAAAAAGGAAGCATGATTAGTAAAGAATAAAACTCTCTTGCAAAATATGATTTATTTTACAAAAATAAAACATGGAATGGGAACATAAGTATAATAGATAAAAGGTACATTCATGACTTTTTACAAGTGGATTACTCCCACTTTTCAAATTTTTCAAATCGTAATTCTTCAAAGATATCTTAAAAATATGATAGTCAAATAAAATTCAAAGTATTTTTAATGCAATGATATCATATTTTTTAGAAGACACATTAATTATAGCGCAACGTATATCTTTTTTAATCTTAATGTTCTATTTGTCTACATCTTCATCCGTTTAATGCCGTTTTTTTTATCCTCTGCTAAAAGCTTTCGTTTCTTTTGCGGTGCCTGAAATTGATATTTCTAATATATATAATTGGAAATATTGCTATTGATTTTTAGCAATATACAAGCTAAAGATATACACGAGACGCATCATTAGATTTTGCTATAATAAATTATAATTTAACACTGTGATATGTAATATTTAAATGCATCTTGTATATTTAATATATTTATTACATGTTTCTCAGAAACGCATCTTGTATAAATTTCTGTTATTAATGAATTTATTATAATAACTATACATGCCTCACCCATAATTTTCTTTATATAATTATTTACATGCACATGCATTTTGACTAAATTTATTACCATAAATAATGATTTTATGATTATTATCATAAAATCTGTTATCCAGAATTTATGTTCATATTTTTGATAACTTCTTTTATAATATCTGTAATATAAAATTTGATACACAACATACACATACCTTTTCATCATCCTCGTCATCGATGTTCTCTTCTTCCATTTCATCATCTATATCGTCAAACTCTTCAATATGCGCACCTGAAATGATAATATAAAACTAATAAAACAAATGGAAATGAGAAGGGCAGAGCTATCTGAAAATAATGTATGTTGCTTAATGTTGTTATTATATATATATATATACACACACACACGTATGCATATGTGTTGTAGATCATATACTATAATGTTATCAATGATATCAATTATAAATTATTATTATTATTAAATAATATTTAATATTATTTAATATTTAATTATTAAATAATATTTAATTATTAATATTATTTAATAATATTTAATTATTAAATAATATTTTATATTATTTAATATAAATAAATATTGTTAGACTTCTTATCTGTCTTTTTGATCAAAATATGTCTAGAATAAATATTATAAATAATAAAATAAAATAACAAATATAAATATTTTTTATAATCTAAACTTTATTTCATGATTTATTAGTAATATTCTAATGAAATTTGTACATTAGAATTTCATCATTACATTATATCAAATTGATTACTAATTATCGTTTTAGAATTAAAAAAATGTTTATATTTTGATATATATTATACATAACAATATTATGTATTATATATGTATTATATTTTGACATTGAATTTTTCTCTAAAAATGTTAAATATATACGAGATAGATATGTTGTATATGTAAAAATATTAATATTGTTAAATCATATGCATATTAATGAAGAGCAATAAATACAAATTGTATGCATAATAAAGTTTTAATATTAATATCATTAAAATAAAGATATTTTCTTCTTTCTTTTCCTCTATCTTACAAATTTGTGTTTTGTAATATGTTTTTGAAATGTATGATTTGAGGAAGGCGTCCAATTTTATTCACATATCGCCTTTTATTTATAATATTTCTTACTTCTATAAACATATGTATAATTTTTAAATAAAATTACTAAAAGATGCATGTCATGTAAATTTTACTTTGAGTTGGATTTATCAGCAAAATTAATTTAGTTTTAAATTTTAAGATTATCTCTAAATTTACTAATTCATAGATTTATTTATATATACTCACCAAGGAGATTGTGTCCTACTATGTGAACAGGTCCACTGCCCTTAACCAATGTAAACGTAACAGGAGGGTCTGGGAAACTGAGATCAAGAATAATCTGCGCTGTTTTTCCCATTTCTAGCAAGGCGATTGGCGTTTTGATGGGCCCTTTCAAACCCATTGCTTCTACTTGCAGCACATTGAGCTCACCAGGCTTGGCTTCTGGCCCCAGCAAAGCCTGTAAAATTTATAATAGCATTTATCAGTAAATTAAATGTATACAATAATGTGCAATGACATTGATCAAAATATTTTTGATACGATTGTTATTCATGAGATCCAAAATTCTAATAATTTAAAAAAAATTGTTAAAATGGTTTATTAAATAAAATAAGTATATTTTATCTAAAATATCTTATTGTTTCAAAAAATTTTCTTTGAACAATTAATTCAAAGTTACTGACCCTTTTTAGGTTAGAAAATAATTTAGCCTCAAAAAGATAATTATATATAAGTAATTATTCATACATGAGAATAATCAAAGGAATGATGAATTGAAATATTTTCATAAAGTTGACTTTGAATTTAATGTTTAATAAATAATGTAAACAACAAAAAATGCTGATGAAATGAATAAAAGGGGTTTTGTATCATATTCTTATCGAAATTTAATTAAAAATTAAATAAGTAAGAACACATACATACATATATAATTCTTATGGAATTACGTTAACGATAAGCATTCTAATATTTATTATTTACTTTGAAATGCCACGCTTTAGCCGGCGTTCTGTTTCCCACAAGACTCTACAATTTAACCTACAGATCACGATTCATTGATTAAACTACAAATTCGTATCCCTTCAAATTCGCCTATTCATAAAAGATTTCCGTTATGATCTTTATTCCCATATAATAGAGCTCTATCCATAGAGAGTAAAATGGGGGAAGGGCGAAGCCGTTATTAAAAAATGGCGCCAAGCATCAAACTTTCGTCAGGACCTCCGAAATTAGTCGGCGCCTTCGTTTCACGCATGGAAGACGATTCGACTACACTCACAACGCCATGAACGGAAGTACATCGTTGGTAGAAAAAAAAATGGCTTGTACTTAATCATTTCGAAGGACGTGTGCTAAAAATAAGCAATGTCAAGTGTTTTGAATATAGAAAGAACATCCGGAACCGAAGGGAAAAAAAAACGAAACTCGGCGATACCGTTTTATCTCAATTTATTTCGTCGGTGGTAAAAAAAAATTTTTAATCGGAGAAACCGAGATCGAGAAACACGATCGAATCGTCCGAGAGGCGCGACGAATAGCGATTAAAGTTTCGCGCGCAAAATTTCGTCCGGGGACGATGACGAGTGTCGCGAGGAAAAAAATCAAGAGTAGATAAACGACTACTCCCGAGCGTACGATGCGATAAAAGAAATTCGGTGCGATCAAACAGAGGACGCGTTGGGTATACACACCGTATGAACTATCGAGTCGATGTAAAATTCGACAAACGCACACTAATCTCGCGTGCAGCTAGGGTACGATGGACGAAGGAGGCAGGCGGGATGTATCGCGCGCTATCTCTCCTCGTCGACGACGAAGGAATCGCGAATGAGGAGTAGCGGCTGCGACGAGACAACGACGAAGACGTAGACGATCTCGTCCCGTCCACGACACGCACACATCGCGCTTACCATCTTTATAATAAGCTTCTGATCGGCGCCGATGTGCTGGGCCGCGCTGTCCGAGTCGTCGTTCTTGTGCTCCGGGTCCCATACTTCGCTCGCGTTCGATCCCTCGAGGGTGATTCCTGAACACACAAATCACAATCATGTACACGTGACACGCCGGGAAGTATCGTCGCGAAGTCGACGAAGGCGATCGCGGAGAGGAATCATTCTCGCCGTGCTCGTAGAAGACAATGGGGGTCGGTCGGTCGCAATGGCCGAATGCCCAGCCGGCGTCTCGGCCAAGCGCATCCCCCTCGCTCTCGAATGGCCGACGGTACGTAAGTATCGGCGCGAGACGCTAAATAACGGGCGGACGGTGATCGCGGCACCGCGGCCGATCATATTTACCGTACAGATACTCCTCTGCCATGGCGATCGGTCTTGATATTAACGGATTCTCGTCAGCGTGATGCGCTCGAGGGACGTGTGCGTGCCGTACACGATGATGGAGAAGCTTAGAGTGACGCCGCGTGTGCGTGTGCGCAACGGTTACTGTGTTACTGCGCGAGGGAAAGGTCGCCGCACGTGCCGGTCGCCGGACGAGCGCGTAGTAAATGAGTTTCGCGTACTCGACCTTGCGCGCCCAGAGTATGTTCCGCGCGCTGATTGGTCCGACGCGACGCGCGCGGCGCGCGGCACGTCCGCTAGGGGAACGGCGCGCTTTAAAAATCCCTAAAATATTTTCCTCGTTCTTACTCCTTTTTTTTTTCGTGCAAGAACCTTGGTTCCTTGGTATATTCGATAGTCTTTTGCATTAGACGGTTTGCCGTCTCTGTAAAGTTTGCGCCTCTCGAGAAACGATTGTGTAAATTATAAAGATAAATTTTTCGCATCACCTTTTGTATCGTTCACAGATGAAAGTAAGTCTGTATATTTGGATATTATGTTATTAGATATTATAGAATAGCGAGATGAATATTATTTGATTATAAAATTTTCATTCTACATTTAATCTAAAAAATACGAGAAATTATGTACATATATATAATTTTCAATGTATTGATCCATTATATTTATTGCACGCTAAACATTTTACACATAATATACAAAATGAGCCAAGCGAATAATCTCTGAAATACACGAAAATTAGTAATAGTAATTACAAAATTAATTTGTAATAGAAATCATTTCGAATACAGAATTTTCAAATGACAAGCGTGGCAGCATCGTCTCTATCGCCTATTGGTTCGAGTCGGCTCTGGTGGCGAATGCACTCAACTACTGTCGGCACATTGGTCCACATTGACGCAATAAATAACGGACGCAACACGTGAATAACGTTGAAGAGTCCCGTGATATAAATGTCGCGGAGCAGAGTTCCGAAAATTTGACATTACATTTTACTCGCCGGCCGATGACAGACGGTCGTGGGACACGTGCGCTCCCGTGAGGATTCGCCCGCGTGGACTTTCGAGAAAAATCGTACGCATCCTACGCCACGAATACGAGCGATAGCTTGTCGGAAGAATGCGTGCCGACACGTACATCCTGCTAATTTACCTGTCGCTTGCGATTTTCGGCGACGCCGAAAAAAATGAAAGCGCTTTCGTGGCGACGCACGAGTGGCAAACGGTGAAAAAGGGTGAGTTTCAGACATGACGTGCAATGTGGGACTACTTTACGTCAACCGAATCCGTCTTCGTCCAACACCACGTCAGTCAAATCCGTCGCGTGATATTTTTTCGCTGTGATCCGCAAAAATGCGACTTTTAGCATATTTTCTAAAGAATAAGTTGTGTTGTACGCGATGTGGAATTTTTGGAAATTACTCGAATTCTGTGGAGTCTATCAAATAGAAATTAGTGCAAACTCGGTGGTTGTAGATCGAGTGTTTACATGTACAGTGACGTACATTCAGATTAGATTACGTGGTGCAATTGTAAGCAACCTCGAGATATTTAAATTATCTTGGGTTTTGTTCAAATAATGCTTTTTCTTTTTTCTAATTTTGCATAAAACTTGATATCGATAAAAATTTAAACAGTATCTTTATGATTAAAACTAATTTTATCATATAATTATAAGAATTATGTAAAAATAGGATTTGAATTTAATAAATTTAATTTGAAATAAAATTAATAATAAATTAAATTTTATAAATTTACTTTTCAATAAATTTAATATAAATGTAAATAATAAAAATTAATTCATAAAAACGATTTAATCGAGTGTAATAAAGATCTATATAATTTATTATGTATAGGAACTCCTATCCCTAAAGGACTTCATGTAAGACATAATTTTGCAACTGGAGTGACAGAAGCTAAATTAATGGACGATGCGGATGAAGTAAAAGAAGATGATGAAAATACAAACCGATCAAGTTCCAAGTCACTAACATTACATCCTGATAAAGCATTACTAGAAAATGAAGAAGTGGATCCTGTAAAAATAAACAAAAATTCTGAATCTTTAAAATTTCCTATTGATGAATTGAAAGCAAGATTAAAAAAACTTAAACAGGAAGGAGTAGAAGATGTGTCAAATATGAATGTAATTATTTTTTATTATCAATATACTAAATTTAAATTTCTAATCATTTCTTTTTTTTCTACAAAGAATAGAGTAAATGACTTTCTTTATATAAACATAATTTTTATAATATTTTATATAATAATTACAACTGTTTATAATTTTGTTTATATGTATTAATTATTTCTTTAATACATTATATCATCATTTAAAATATCTAACCAATTATATAATAGCTTTTATTATTATAGTTTTAAATTAATAGATTTTATAAAAATTTAATAACATCTAATTTTTTCTCTTTTTATTCCAGGATGGAGAAACTCGACCAAAAAGTGAGAAACATTTCAAACGTTTTTATGAAACTTTGAAAGAAGAACTTAATGCTCTAAAAATCAATGTTACAAGTGATTCGGAATTATTAAAGAGGTTTTTCCAGAAATTTCAATCTTATAAAAGCAGTGTCACTACAGGAACATTAACCAGCATAGAGACTGAAGAAGTTCTGGATATTTTAAATAATTTAGAATATCTTCTTCACCAAATTGACAATGCTAAAATATTTTCAGACATGGATGGGTAAGTATAACATACAAAGATAAAATTTTTTTTTTACAAAAGAAATTTGTTAAAATTTCTGTTTCTTTTTATTGTAGGCTAACCAAGATCGTATCGCCCTGCCTCAATGGAACCAATAATGAAATAAAATTGGAAGCATTGCGTCTTTTGGGTGCAGCTGCACAATCAAATCCAAAAGTGCAAGCTAAAGCATTAGAAAATGATTTTATTCAAAAAGTATTGCATGTTTTATCTACAAGTAGTAAAATTGAAGTAAAATCCAGATGTCTCTATGCTCTAAGTGCCTTAATACGCCAGTTCCCTGCTGCTCAGAAAGCTTGGATTGATCATGGTGGTTTACAATTATTTGGAAAAATTCTATACGATGATCAATTACAGATTCAAATGAAAGCAATAAAACTAATTAATGATCTAATAATTGAAAGACAAAACCTACAAGAGATCTATGATATCGAACAGCGTCAACAAAAAACGAGGGAATATGCTATTACAGATTTCGAGCAAAGATTATTGAGACATGATTACTGCAAGTTACTAAGCAACTTAATGATCAAGTGCTTTAAAGAGAAGCTAACTAGCCAATTCAGCATAGAAAATAATGATTTTCTCGAAGTAGTTTCAGACAGCATGATTACAATATCTCCTGTTTGTAGAAATGAATTTAAAAACATTAAGCTTTTACTTCTACCTGTTATAGATAATCTCTTATATTTTTATCAAAATCTGGATAATCTTAAACTGACTGTGGATGAAACTGACGTTTTACAGAGTTTAATATTACTAATTGAAAGATTAAAAGATACTATTTTTGAAGCACCTCATGATGAATTATGAATATTTAAAAAAATCAGCATTTGTAATTGAAGAAATTAAAGACTACAAATTGAATTCAAACCTTGTAAGAACAGATGTAAGAGTGCAACCATCTATATATAATAGTAATTATTTGAAATAGCATAGGGCTTTCTTAATACACATTTGTTTAAATTAGAATAAAAAATGTGTGAAAGATTGATCATCATTGTAATAATAATTTGTGAAAGAAAAAGATATCTATGGATAAGCAATTTATTATAATTTTTATAGATCTTAAGGAAAATCCATTTATAATCATAAAAAAATATTTTATTATATTCTAAATGTGACATTATATTGTCCACATTCTAAATAGCTTATCATATTTGCACGATTGATCAGTAAAACGTGCAGATTCTCGTCTCTTGCATCTGAAGTATAAAGCACTAGTCATTACATATCATTTAAATTTTTATTCACTGTTTGAATGCGTTATAATCGTTAGTGATTTTCATCGTTATAGATGTTTGTATCATATGAGTTTTCTTTTTATTGGCCTATTAAATGCGTTCGAATGTCTTAAGTACAGGAGACGAGAACTTGATTTAATCACGCATAGAGCTCAATATTCTTCATATTACATATATATAATTCATATTTTTTGTCAGCAATTAAGAGCTATCATTTAAAATGACTGAAATATATGTTGTACATATATATAATATGTAAGACTTCAGTTGTTTGCTGTCAGCTAGTAAAAAGTGCAATTGTTTATGCAGGTATATGCACTCGTTGTTTTCTGTTTTAGAATAATTATTTAATAAATTATTTTGTATCAAAATAAAAATATATTTAATTGTCCAAAACACAATTCCCTAGTATAGTTAATGTAAAAAAAGTAAAATATGATCGCAGAATAATACCTTTTATTTACAAATCATAGTAGATTAGAGATTACATATGATTAATTCTTTATTTACATAATCATAATTCATAGAAAATATTTCTGTAAAAGATGTTAATTTTAGTTCCATCCCTGAATAGGGAATATCTATTTACAGATGCAAAAAGCGCTCCTGTATCATGCATTTAAAATAGTATATTTTGCTTTTAATTGTTAAGTACAAGGATCGCGTTACTTTGTGCATCATAAAATATAGATAATGTGCATGATACATGAGGCTAATACGATACAAGAGAAAAGTACAAGTTGATTTTTTTTCAATGTCCATTCTTTATAAATTGGAAATATAACAAAGTGTTTATATTTTTTATAAGTATATATTATCTACGTATTATATGATTTTTTTAATTATTTGAATATATAACAAGGTGAAGCTCTGTGAAAAATACATACTAGTATCTTTCATGTAAGTATCTTCTTATAGATATATACTTATCATGTTCATGTATTTAAAGAAAATATAATTTTTCAGAATTATATCGATAAATATGCGCTATAGAATATATATTAAAAGTTTCAAATTTTTTTCATTTATGAATAGATACATCAAAATATATATGATATATACTTTATGAATATTTAATGCCATATATAATTAATATTACTACATAATAATAGAGTCGATATTAAAGCAAATAAAACGAACATAATTTTATTTGATCTATGTGTGCATATGATCAATTTATTTCAATGATTATATATTATTAGTAGTTTATTCAAAATGTAATCTACTTCTATACGCAATCTTATGAAGTTTTATCAATATGCTCAAAAAGTTCTATCTAAATTTAAATTTTACAAAATTTGTACGCAAATGTTATTTCATGTTTTATCCAAATTTGTTTAATTTGTTTAATTATAAACTCAGAATACATACAAATGCTATTCTCCAATTCTGTACAATACATAGAATATTTTCTCTTTTTTATCATCTTTAGTTATTTCTTAAAAAAAGTTCTGATTATATATTATTTACTTTAGGAACTGAATGTATATTCACTAGTATACTTTTAATCTCGTATCTGCGCTATAAATGCATGTATATAACATTGAGGAGTTTCATTAAGGAAGTTTTCATTGCATTCTTGTATATCTTTATATACAAACAGATAACAAACATTAGCTTTCAAATTTATTCAAAACAAGATGATTATACGTCAATATTGGCTTTCAAATTTAATTTTTATATTAGTATTACAGTGTCGTGTCCCAGAAAAAATGAATTACATTGTAGAACATGCTAGAAATACTACTCTCAGCTCTTATGAGAAAATATGTATATTGATGCATAAATTATAATAGTGAAGTTTATAACAATTTCGAATATCTTGTCATTAATAACATGATAATATTGGAGTAATCTAATTGTAACAAAATAACAAATTACACTTTATATATCTCTATGTTATTTATTGTAAGAAAGTATTTTGCTTCACTATCATTGTTAAATTAGGTTTAAGATTTTCGGCAAATCATAAAAAAATTTAAGCTGTGACTGAATCTTATTATTTAAGCTGTGACTGAATCTTATTATTTTCAAAGATTATACAAGAACGGAAAACTAACGATCATTTCAGACTTTATAATAAATATTTCAATATGTTAGAGAAAAAATATTTCAAACAGAGAGATATAAAATATTTAAAACAAAGAGATAAAATATTATAAACTAGGCTAAATCTGATTATACATGAGTTTGGTCAGTCGTTTATCGTCGCTAGTTTTCCTTCCCGAATTCTATTTCCATTGAGCAATAAGTAATTTTATGGCAACTTTGGAGTACTGTACTGATGATATATACCAAAACATATAGGTCCGGTAAAATTGTACTCAGTATATACTAGCATAATAGAATTTCTCTTTACTATAATCCTCTAATGAAATTATTTAATATATATTTCACTTAAACAAACATCAATGCGGCCATAACAATAACCCCAAAAAGTAAAGCACTGAATTGTTTCAATGATTCTTTTGTATTTGTTTCTTTTAATAAATCGGGCAAGATAGTTACCAGACCAATATGTATAAACCCTCCTGCAGTTAATGGTAATATCCAACTGGTTCTTTGCTCTGAAAAAAACAGGACCAAATACACTATATATAATTTCTAAGTTCTATTTAAGAAAAAAATAAAAAATTTTATATTATAAAAAACTTAGTAATATATATATATATATATATATATATATATATATATATATATATTACTAAGTTTTTTATAATATAAAATTTTTTATTTTATTTTTTACATACGCACATACGTACATATATATACATATATATATGACATAATGTACTAAAAATATTGTTTCAAGAGTTTGATATTCTACACAAAAACAAATTAAGTTACACAAGAAAAGAAATGTCATTTTTTCATAAATTCAATCAACGTTAATAATGACAAAACATTTGTAATGAACAAAAATAATTAACTATATATAATTTTAACTATATATAATTTTAGTATCAAATTTTCAAAACTGAGTTACATGTCTTGTATATTATAAATTTTATGTGATTATTTACCTAAACCACCAGAAAAAGAGACAGCAGCTAAAGCACCAACGATTCCACCACCGGCCGTGAATAACTGCGCCCGCGCAGCGTCCCATCTGCTAAATCCGCTCCGTAACAAAATAGCAAAATCGCCAACTTCATGAGGTATTTCGTGCACCAAAATAGTAAATGTGCTGAGGACACCTACGCGGAAGGAAATAAGGAACGATCCACCCACAGATAAACCGTGAGTAAAATTATCAAGAAAATTCATCAAAAGATTGAGGTATCCAGGAAAGGCCTTAGGATTGAAAAATTTACGGAACAAGTTCGATGTAAGTTTTTTTATCCATGCGATTAAACGCATATTATTTGATGGAATTACATGCGGAGGATTAGGACGTGAGATTGTTGCCGCAAAACCGTTGCTCTTTGCAAGCTTCTTCAAGCAACTCTTTGCTTCGTCAACTAATGGACCATCATTAGGACATTCACTTGACAATGAAGATTTCATAATATCAACATCTTTAAAGCCATTCTTTCGTGAACCTTTAATATGATTTGGAGTTTGTATATCCTTGCCATATTGTTTCTCCAGGAAAAGTTGTATCTGTCCAACAGAGAGTGTTCAATCATTTTATGTGCACAATTATAAATTTAAATAATACATTAATTTTAGATAATATAACAAAAAATTTACCTCGGCCGAATTTTTAAAGCGTTTTTTTGCAAAACCATTTTTCCCCGTGTTCAACGTAATACAATTATTATTATCCATCTCTTTTTCTTTATTTACATCATTAATTAGAGTTTCATCAATCTGATTTTCTGGAATGATTGCCATTTCCTCATTTATAGTTGTGACGAATTTTTCGATGATCACGAAGAACAAAAAGGCCGACAACACCGCCAGCCCAGCGGGCATGGATGAATTATTATTCTTGGCTGTAAATAAAAGTCAACATGGAACGTTTTATAAATGTCTGAAAGATAAGATAACTAAGAATAAGAACAATGGAGATATTTGCGAATAAATCAAGAGTTGTAATCCATAAAATTTATCTCATCTACCATATTATTTATCAAATATATGTTTAAAGAGTACAACTTATGGATATACTTAAGTTGTTTCTTCTAATTCTTTAATGTATCATTTAAGGATTTGTCAATATATTTATGAATTTTAATTATACAATTTGTTGATTTCTTTTTATAATAAACCATCGATAGACGCAATGAATATAAAATGAAAGTTAGAAAATTTGCAATTCAAAAACAATTCAATTTATACGGTCATTACTAGTCCACTGATCATCTCGAATTCCTAACATGGTTCAGTCGGAAAGACGTTTAATTTACATAGACGCAGCTGGCAATTCAAATCTGCAACTGACGCACAATAGAGTTCGAAGCCGCCGCTTAAATCGTTCATAAAGCTCTTTCGACCTCGAAGACCAGGGACGTACTCTACTAACGTAGAGATTGCGAAATGCATTCACAGCACATATGTACACGCTATGTAAAAATAATAGGGAAATATCGAATACATTATATATATATTCCATCAAATTTCGCAATGTTAGAAATGTCAATAAGATTCATTAAATAATCTAGGTTACTCAGTTTTTTTCATTAATATTGTATTTCCTTCTGCTAATGTTGCTGATTTCACACAAATACTGTTCTATTTATTAGTCGTTGTAATTAAATATTGCATGAATAAGTAGAAATTTTTACTAATACAATTTTTTACTAATAAAGTCTTGTTTCTCTTGCATCAGTACATCAAGATTTCTATAATTTTTCGTATCGTGATTATATTTATCTATTACTGTAATCATTATTTATTTTATTTTTACGATAATAAATCCATCTTATCTTAATAAAAAGTGACTTTGGTGATATATTAAAAGTTTCTTATAAGATAAGATTAATCCACTTATATCTAAATAGTTGTGTAATAGAAAATACCAGAAATAAAATATCATAAATAAAATAATACCTCTCATTTGTAATTCACTCTCAAATGCTTCCGGCAAGAGATGTAGAAAAACATCGCCTAATAATGCGCCCATGGCAAAGCTTAGAAGAATCTTTAAAGTGCCGCAGTTTTCTGTAAAAAGAGAGATAAAAGTATTAGTGCTTAGCATATTCATTTTGCGTAGCGAGTGTTCAGATAACTAAAACATTTATGAAATTACAGCGACTTATTATTTTTGACATATATATGCATAAGTAGGAGAGAAAAATATAGATAGCCTAGATATGCAGGAAATATTTTTTTGCATTTTGAAAGAGCTCGAGCGTTCGAGAATAAGTTCTTCGTTGACTTAGTTAAAGTTAGATATGATAAAAATTATTGAACAAACACCTCATTGTGCGATACACACAATGATGTCTGTTCAATACTTTTAACGAAGTCAACAAAATAATTACTAAAAGAAAAAAATTATACAGCAAAAAAAACCGTAAAATATGTGTGATATTATATTTGTACAATATAATCAATAAAATAGAAACCATAAATCGACGAATCACTGGCGTTTTATCGCTGAGTAGCAAACGACGCACATGGCAGACGACGATAAGTTCAAAGTTTGTTCATGCGATAAAAATGAGCTATGGATGTTATGCTTTTCTGCACGCGGGTCACGGAACTAATGTGCCGATATATATACAATTGAATTATTTCTGTATTATTATATTTGTGCCCACGCACATTTATCTCATGTTTGCACGCACTTGCATAAAAAATGATGCGTGAGAAACTCGCACAATGAATTTTCTTCCCACAGGCAGATCTTTTATTATAAATCTGAACTAAAATGGATAATAAATCTTGATTTCTGATATACTTTTTTTTGCGAAATATTATTGAAATAAATATTGTAATAATGAAGAGAAGAGTCAATTAATTATGTACATTATTGTTAATTAAAGCATATTAGTCGAATATGGAATATATAATGATTATATTCTATGAATTAATATTCATAGAGTTTGGTCAATAATAATTTTTAAAGGCATAAAGTACGCCGACTATTATATTTAATTTTTCATGATAATAAATAAAAAAGTTTGATGCTAGAAAATAACATAAAATATAAATTTTTTAATGTGATATTTAACACGTTCAACAATCACTAATGGATTACAGCTCATATTTGCTATAACAGCAGCAATTTGTAGAATAGGCTATCCGATGATAACCGTTATGATGTCAACGTATGATTCACAGCAAAAGAGAGGAAAAGAAATATAAATAATGTAAGCGGGCCTTGATCTCATTTTGACATAATTAGACAAATACAAACGCACTCTTCTCTTGGCTGGTAAATTCATCAATCTCAAATGATAAGAATGTCGCGATTTGTTTAATTTAAAAATATATTTTTTCAACTGCTATAAGTTGTAATGGAAGACACGAATATTTATCTATTGTTTCAGTTTCAAACATTTTTTTAAATATATATCTCTCAATTTCATTATATAAAAATTAACACAATTATATACACATATATACACAATTATATACACATTATATACACATATATACACAATTATATACACATATATACATATATGTTTATTTATTCAATAATATCTTAATTATGTAACTCTCCATAAATTGCGTTACGTATTAATCTCGTTTAACAGAGAATACACTTATTAATTTTAACTAGCTCTTACTCTTACTAAAAAATTAATAATCGGTATCAATTTGGCTGCGTAAAACTCAAATGAAACAAAAAGAATATGCTCGGTTTTCGGGATATTAATATATTCTATAGTCAATAACAAATTCCTGTTAATAAATTGATGATTCTTTCGATATTGCGTCCTACTTTTAATATAGCATTATCATTATTATTATTATATATAGCGTATCAGGTATAAATTGCATTAGTTCAATAAAAAGAATATGTCAATTAGTCTAGTTACAAAATCGGAATAAAACAAATCAATTGTTGATGAAAAATGAATATGCATCATACTGACGGTGCAGGTAGACAAGATAATTGGATAATAAGATTTCAGGTTCTGCTTTTCAGATATAAAGAGATATAATCAGCAATTTTTCAGATATAATCAGCAATTTTTTAAAATATTAAATATATAAAACATATTTCTTATCAAACACATTTTTGACGAAAATTTAATTTGTTTTAATAATGATAAGAATATATAATGTATAAATGAATATAAATATATAAATTTACAATATATAAATTGGAAGATTTTTTTATATAAAGCATTCTAGTGTAAATCGACTATATTATCATTGCTCAAAAATGTTTTTCTGTAAAATCTAATAATTCTGAAAAAGGCACATATCTACATATGTCAATTCGATAACAAATTTAGAAATTCTAATATTCTCATTTTTACATTAGATTATCAGAAACGACTACTTATATCTAAAACATGGAAATCATATTATTATCAAAATACCCGTATTTAATTTAATTTTTTTAAATCTATTTGAAAATGGAAGAACTTGATTATAAAAATACTAAAACTCGTAATAAATATAAAAATTTCAATTCTAGATTAATTATTATTTCCATTAATTATATTTCTAATTAATAAATAATTTTAAGTTTCGATTTCAAATTGTTGATAAGTGCTGATAAGAAAGCTTATTTTGCTTGCTCTCTTTTGTGATTTATATGTATTTGAAAAATTATTACGTCAGACATTTCATATACAGCAATTATATACATGACAGAATCTGGCTATACGCACGCATTTATATCATCTATTTCCTAGAAGCCTTTGTGCAATTAATTTATCTTTTAACATATAAAGTTTCCTCATGATATCAAAACTTATTTTCTCCATTCGTTATTTATATATAATTTATATATAATGCTAAATAATTTAAATTACAATATAAAATAAAATCAATAAATGTAGAACAATCTTGTATAATTTTATAATTACAAATTAAAAGTGAAAAGAGCTAAAATTGGAAACGTTTAAAATGTAATAACAGAGATACAATGAAGAGAAAGATAAAGATGAGCGTATCTATAATTAGTATAATAATGACATACGGTACGCGTTGCAAATTCACAACAGATGTACTGCTATCAGAATAATAACTCTATTGCACAATCGAACTAGACCAGCAATTGCAAAGATCACGTAACTAGGTTTTTGTGCCTCAGGATATTAAAAGCCGCAGAATAGAGATATCATTAATTTTTAGGTAAAAAGAGATTTATTTTGTAAATACAATTTGTGATGAGCGGATATTAAAATTTCAATTAATTTCAAAGCATAATCACGACTTGTTGGAATACTGAGTCTTCAATTGAAAGAATAAACTTATATAACATCCATAAGAATCTCATTTCTCGATTATTTAAAATCAGTGAGATTCAAAACGTTATTTCCTATTTCATTCTAAAATAAATCATGAATTAATTTGATAAATCGCAGACACTTCACGTTATTTTAAAAAATGTCAAATTAAGTTTTCAATTGAAATTTATAAAATAAAGGTATATTTTCTCATCCTTGAGAATTATCGTGTGCAGATTTATTTTATAATATGGTAATTATCAATTGTCAAATTGTTTTCCTTTGCAAGATTTACGTAAAATATTTACATTTTACAGCGCGAATTATGCGTACTTATTTTTTACATCAACAGATCATGCATTATCATCGATCATGCACATTCGATTCATTTATATTTAGGTTTTTCCCAATTGCACGGACACTAGTAAGCATCAGATACGTATGCATCGCGACACGTGACTAATAAATAAATATATTATCCCTGTGAGACTATGCAATAGACATGCGCAGCAATTCCAATGTTGTCGAGAAGGCGATAAAACACGTTAAAAGATCATGACAGTGAGTCGTAATGACGATTTCTTTGTGGACTTCGGAAGAAAATGCATCACAGCGCAACTATGCTATTACGATTTTACTCTTTACCGGGTGTCTCAAAGAAAACGTACATCATCAACAATAATTCTTCTTCATTATATAATAAATTTAATTTTTTGTGATTTTTTATTCACATGCATAACAATGGAAATAAAATGCAATGCTAAATTAGATCGAATGCAACACTTAAATTGTCTCGAAACTTAATTTCAAAATTAATATGTAACTTAATTTCAAAATTAATATATAACTTAAAGATCAATTTACAATGTTGAGACATATGTGTGTGACTTATAAATTAATTGATGTAAAATTCTTAATATAAAACGAAGTTTTTTTCACTAGCGAGATAATCATTAATGTTAAAAAAATTAAAGCATTATATATAATTGATGAAGATCTCAAGGGAATTAAGTATTTAATATTTAAACTTTAATATTTCAACTTTTTTTCGAAACTATTGTTCTGGTACTGATTCTGATATTGATCTTGATTATTTTATCTTCTTATATAGTAATTTCATTGGTCATATTGCTAAGAATTATCCGAAACGATGCTTGTTATCTCATGAGAATACAGATATGACAATTGTATGACTGCAGTATGTTGACGCATTTCCCAAAGCGTCTAAAACAACAGCTCACTCCATAAATTATATTTATGTTGCAGAATATTAAACGAAGCATGCTAATATAATTCAAAAATTAGTACAATCAGAGTTATATTTATTGTATTAAACGCTTCACATGCTATGATTTATTATACAATATAGTAGAATAGCAATAAATATAAAATATAGTTGAGTGTGATTGCACGTTTTTTAAAGATTTAATAATGCCAATATTTAGCTCTGGTAGTCATGCAAGCATTGTTGCAAACTTATTGATTTTCAGGCAAACAAGGGGTACAGATGCTTAAAAAACTTTTTTCCAAATTTGAATTTTTTTCTATTTTGAATTTTCTATTTCAAATATAGAGTAATTATAATAAAATAAAATCTTATAAAATATATTTAATTATTTTTATTGTATTTTTTATATTGATATAAATCAGTTATAATAAAAATTACGAAAAAAATGCTGAACTAAATGATTTTGAAATAAAATTTAGAAATTTATATCATAATTAGTAATAAGTTTCGTTATTTTTTCTATAAATATCATCAATCGCGGATATGACAATAAAGATTTGATTGGAAAGAGATTATCA